GTTGTTATGTATGTATATATATATATATATATATATATGCTTAATATAAACTGTATACATGTTAAGGCGCGAGATTCGAAACTGAAAAGCATTACAGCATTCAGGTTGATCGCATTGCGTTCAGCCAAGAATGTGCCCAAAATTGTCACTACCTCAGATGTTTGATTTGCTGGATGGGGCAATATATTTATTCTTGCTGCCATATACTGCCTTCGCTATCGGCTGGTACACTATCCGTCAAACTTCTCCAATCTGTCCGTGACAAAGGATGTGAGTGTATCGGCGCACTTGAAGTACAGAGTATCCTGGGCATTGTACATGCGGCAGTTGTCCAGCATTAGGTGCACATCGTGGGCAAACGTGTCCTTATTCTTGTAGTACCCAGCTTGCAGTCTGAGTGCGATTTCGCTGAGATCGATGGGGTTGGAGATAATTTGGTAATAGTCTGGTACCAGAACCGGGTCAACGGGCTCGAAGAAGGGCCAGGCGCTGGAATGGTGCTGCACGAGAGAGGGAGGAAGGAAGCACCGGAAAACAGAGGAGAAAATAAAGGCTGAGAATTGTTGGAACACGTCCTTTGAACAAAATACGATAGGCACGACGATGTACGAGACAATCTCCTGATCTGTACTTTTTGACTCAGAGGAACGAATAGAAATCAATGCAGCCGTAGCTGAATGAGGGGGTCAGTTCTGAAGTACAAGTTGAATTGGGAACTACTTCAAAGCAAGCTGCACTAGCATGTGTGATAACAAAGCCTGGTGCTTTGCCTTTACAGGAAATATGGGCAAACATACCTTTATCTCGTCGTAGATTTTCCGCAGTTTTATTGCTGTGTCACTGTGTAGGACACAGTCGCAAGTGTGCAAGAGTGCAAATTTGAATTAGTGAGGATGCATAGGACTGTGATGGGCGGTGTTCTCCTATTTGCATCCACAGGTGTGACCGAAATTTACATGGTTGCCACATACACCACGTTGATTGTGGTATTGAAGAGCCGCTGTGTAGCGGCTATTCATTAAAGCACACAGAATTTAATGGCAAAATGTAAACATAATTAACAGTGTATCCCATTCTTCGTTTTACAATCACGTGCACATGCTGCTTCTTACATACACGCTTGTATTCAAACTGCCTATGTATAAAGCACGCACCAACACATGGCAAAATGTGAAAGTATATAAAGATGAAGCCATTTGTTCATTATTCATGCATGTGTATACGCATTTTACATGCACGCCTGTATTCGAAACCCCGGAAGACATACCTTGCGCTGCCGCTGTACCCATATCCGCCTTCAACTGTAAGGTATTGAAAGGAAAAACTTGAGCTAAAGGCACGCCAGGGACCAAAAATATATCATATCCGCCTAACAGCAATTCAGGGATGAACCTCTCATACGGAGAAGTGCACCTATGTCTTAAATCAACAGATATCTCGTGCGCATAGGCACAGCTAGCAACTCAGGTGACACGCGTATAGACTCTAGTATATATTGACTGTTTTAGCATCTTAGTCTCTAAAATACACGAATCGACATCAGGATATACACATACCCACACCCGGGATAGCACGAATCTGATTCTCTGTCGGCTCAGCATCAGCCTCGGGAAAGTGTGTGATGCCAGGATACACCACGTGTGAGCGGGAGAGTGTCTGTACCTTGCGCAGCACTTGATCGCGTTGTAGGCGGAGAACGTTGGGCAAGTCCACATGATGCACCCAGGGCACGATCATGTACTGAGATAAAGACCAATAGAAGCATGTAGTGTTTGATCAAAGACTGGACTGAATACATGGTCGAGTTGGTATTGACCACGTACCGGATATGTGACGAGCTTAGTATATGATTCCGCATGGTGTGAGAGAGAGTCCACAGTTTATAGTCTACGTCAAAAAATAGAAACCGGGTACCCATACCCGTCCGGTCAACGTCTCATCCATGCGGACAACACTAATATAGCGGACAACACTAATATACATTGCATATAACACATGATTGCCACACATGTGTGATGAAACCAACACACGCCAGTTCAACGAGGATACATGCTTGACGAGCAGAATGAAGCGAGTCATGCACATTAGAACAAGTACCTCCATCAGAAGTCCGCCGTCGTAGTCCTTAATGTACCCCACGTAGTTGCCTGACCTGATGGTGATCGCTGAGGTGAAGCCCTAAATGTAATTGCCGAAATGAAAACGTGCTTGTCAAGTTCTATAGAGCGCATGGCTAATGGAGACTGCCGTACCCAGCAGATCATTGAAGTGGCGAAAGCAGAAAGACTTCCCAGTAAGACTCGCTTGTCAATCTAAACGAGGAGCGTGCGAACTCGACTTAACTCCATGAAAAAGCGCCCTCGTTAACAAAATAAAGAAAGGGACAATACCTGTTTCTCAAAGTATCCAATGGCAAAGTTGTCCGCGTACGTGAGGAAGTAGAAAATGTGCTTCCCGATGACCCAGTGTTTCAGCTGGTTCATGATGAGCGTGCCATAGCCCTGAATTGGAATCCGTTAATGGTTAATGTGTGAGTGACACCGCGGTACATAGCTGTGCTACACTTAATGTGCTATATAATCGAGTGTCCCAGAAAAAAATATACATAAGTGTGGATGCAGACTTTGAACGCACCTTGACCACTTTTTAATAGATATGATAGATAGCGATGTTTTAAGAAGAAGAAAAATACATACCTTGACCTGCTCGTCCGAAGAGACGGCACAGAACACGATTTCAATAAAATTTTGCTTCGGAAACATCCGGAATACGATGCCCCCCATCACCTTGCCCTTCTTCAGCAGAAACAATCCGGTATGTTTCCTGTCGAAAACCAAACGAGTAATGTACTGCCGAGGCATGCGTGGTAGCTGTCGCGCGAATAAGTTCCTGTGCATGATAAGACGTTTGTTGTTAGCTCACGTGTACCAGCAATACGCGTCCATAGAGCCCAAAGAATGTCAGACCTGTAACGTTTATGTGCAACTTACTTCGCCTCTGTGAGCCAGATGAGGTGCTGCCGGTTGATATCAGGCTTGTTCTGTATGACCTCGAACGTAAGGATGCCTTCTTCCATCTCTCTTCGAGTTCGTGTAGAGCCAGCGCTTGCACTGGGTGCATTAACCTGCACCTGGGCAATAAGACGGATACAATCCCATGCAAAAGATCAATGGAGGTTTCAACCAGTGTTTATATATGGTTAGAAATATTTGTGTCCAATTGCATAATTGTATGAGAGTATGACCATATGAGTCTGGTTTATGTATGAATATTTGCGTGTGTGTGTATGTCCATATCAGGCTTAGACTAGTATGGGGACAATACTTGTCCTCATACTAGTGTTTGATTTAGTACACGTGCTTTGAAAAATAAGAAAAACTGCCCAAACTCAGACATGCAGAAAACGAAAGAAATTGATTACATACTCTTATGTATTCACAGGTAAAAAAATGATAAGATTTGTAGAAGTATACTTTCGATTGGATACATAAATCTACCTATAA